TAGTATGCTAATGACGTCGTAACAACCATAATGGTTAAATCAAGTAATGAATTGATACTTAAGGAAAGGAGAAGGTTGAAATTTTGAAAATACGCACATGCATGAAAATTAAGAAACGACAAAACGTTGAAATTAAGAAGCAGAAGAAGCAAAACAATATTGAAATTATAAGAAAAAAAGCTAAAAACATATATTCAAAATAAGAAAAAGGAAGATGAAACTTTATTTTTTCTTATATCAAGATGAGAGATTAACACAAGAAGCATGGTAAATAACGGGGTGTATATATATATGCATCATGTTGCTATGTGCATATTACATTTTCTCTCAACTCTATTTAGAAAATAATTTATTTTTGCTGTTGATTTGGAAAAAATGGAGGAATATTGGAAGAGGGAAACAAAGAGAGGTGGTTCGAGAGTATTTAATGTACCAGAACATGAACTTGGTAGTATTCAAGTTAAATGGCTTGAGTTTCACCAAAGTCAAGAAGTGAACGTGATGTATCAAGGAACAATTCAACAATATCTAAGACGTCTCCAAGAGCTCGGTGTCCACGATCTAAAGTGTCTGGTTCGTTCCTAACATTTTTTACTTTTTTTAACTTAATGATTTTTTTCGCGTTCATATGTATATAATATGGTTTTATAGGGTAAATAAGGGAGATGGTGAGACTCATGCGGAGATGTATAAGCATTTGTTTCGCTATCCACCTCTTCTCTTCGCAGCCGAAGCTCATCTTATCGAATATGGTGACAAGACTTGTGGAAAGATCTTCTTACGTTGCAGGCCAAGGTAAATTATGAAGCTTACGAACGAAATCATCACTGCCATAAACGACATCGCAGGAAGCTCGATCATGTGTCTCTTGGATATTTCAAGATGATGAAATATATATGACTTATCTAGTTACAGTATTGATGAATTTACTATTTACATACAAATTTTCCTTGTTTATTATATCAGCATTTTCAATTAGTATATATCTGTTGCGCATCAAAAATAAATAAAAAATAATATGTTGATGTTGCGAATAAGTGTACATTTGATGTTTGCTCATATCTTGATTTTTGGTTGGATTTAAGTCTCGGCAATTTGAGTTCTGTTTTACTGGTGTATATCGACTGAATCCATAATTAACAGATTAAAATGGACATTAAGTAAAACAAAAAAAATGGTTTTGGGTTTTGTTTTCGTTGGTAATTAGTTGGCAAATATATTTGGCACGTACGAATAAAATGGTTTTTCCCTGACGCCTGACATAGTATTAGTTAGTTTTAATTTTGTCGATTTGGTATTGTTAAGGAGATCATAATTATAGGAAATTGCATGTACTAGTAGTAAGTGTATATGGATTTTCTTATGGCACAAAAAGAAAGCCAAGTGGATATAGAAGAAAGGAGATATGATATTTTATGGCATTAAAAAATTGTAACAACACACATTTTCTTTTTAATATTTTCTTAAAACAGATGTGGTGGATCAACAGTGTTCTTTTTCTAAAAATAGATTTTCAATATAAAAATATCTATTAAAAAACCCAAAGTTGACCAAAACAATTACTCAAAATCTAGACAAAGTAAAATCAATTTCAATATAAATAAGGTCCTTGATCTTGCTCATCTCCCTAACTTCTCCAACATAAAAAAAAATGAGTTATCCTGCTTTGAACCAAGACATGATTTTAGAGATTTTCTCTTACTGTCCAGCTTCAACAATTGCAAAATTCAGATTCCTAAACAAAGATTACTACAAACGAATGTCTGAATCTTCGTTCGTAAACCTTAATCTCCTTAGAACCAATTCTATCTTTGGAGTTTTTCTCCAATACCAATCATATCCTTCAAATTTTAATTCAAGTTTTGTCCTTGCCGGAGATGGAGAAGTCTCGCTTGACTTTCTTCCGATGGAGAAAGTAAAGATCGAAGCTTGTGATCCAAGTCAAGGGATTTTGCTCTGTGTTGTTTCTGTATGTTATGGAAAAAAATTGTACCTCGTTTGTAAACCAACCACAAGGCAGTACCGTACTATACCAACCCCGGAAACCGGATATTGGACCGATCTACATTTTCGAGCTATTTTATCCGGTTTGATCGTGATTCGGACAAACCCTTTAAGGTATAAGATTGTCAAGCTATCTACTAAATTCAAGATATCATCCTCAGAGAAAGATCATGGCTACACACTCATATGCGAGGTCTTTGATTCTGATTCGTTTGCATGGAAACGATTAGACGATGTGAAACTACCAAAAGGCGAATTTCTAACGATTTCAAGCGTACCGGTATCAAATAATCGGTTTTTGCATTGGTTAACGACGTCGAAAAAAAATGTGTTCCGGTTTGGTATGGAAACCGAAAGATGGTCTCTCCTCTCACTTCCAAACGATGTAGATAGCTCTGATCGTATAATTTTAGCAAATCACGAGGGTAAGCTAGGCATAATAGTTTGGGAGCGTAAAAATGGAGAATATTTTACAGGGACTTGGGTTTTGGATGGTCATTTTGGCAAGTCGTGGGTGAATGTGAAAGAAGAGAAAAGTATAGTGGAAAAAGGTAATTTAGTTAAAACTTTGTGGTTTCCTCGAAGCAACGACGTCGTAATGATTGGTGGTTTTGATTGGATCGGTCTTTACGACGTGAAGACTAATCGTATGAAATCTGAGCGTTTCAAGGTCACTCTTCCTTGTTCGTTTGGTAGTTGTTGTTCCGTTGCTTATTTCCCTTTTTACTCTGACCACGACAGACTTGATTTCAACGAAGATGATGTTAAACCCTAAACCTAAACCGATAAAGACCCACAAGTAATTGTAGATCGGAAAAGAAATTGTAATTGAACAAACCAAATTGAACCGAATAGAAAGAAGAATAAACTAATGCGACAATTTTTTTGTTTTCTTTTGCAAAACTTGTAGTCTGAGCTATTTAATTATAACCTTATTTTATGATAACTTAATAATCTTTTTTATTTGGTAGGGAGAATATGGATTTGAATCTCTCTTCCCAGTCGTTCTTCCTTTTCGTTTAGAATAAGATCGATCGATCACCATATAACATTTCATTCAAACTGCAATCAAATTCATTAGTATTGGTCAATTAATTAACAAATCAGGAGACATCATAATATGCATCACAAAATTACTGCTCCAGAATTTAATGTCTTCAACAAAGTTTTGGACCTTATTTTCAAAAAAAAAAAAAAGTTTTGGACTTGAAAAGTTTGCCTCATGATACCTAATGACTTCAATAATATGACTTAGTGATAATCACTCACCTAGTTATGAATATGATTAATACCAATGTTTCACACACAATAAAATGTAGTAATACTAGAGATTGTCCACGCGTTGTGTGGATTTAAAAATCAATATGATAAAATATCTAATAATTTTAGCTTATTGATTATTTGTGTATTTAATATTACAAAAAATTATTGTTGTAGTAAATAATTATCTAGGTAAGAAGATTAAATATTTGGAGCAAATTGCTAGACATATACAATATTATATGTGAAAACATAGACTTATCATTAATAAAAATTATAGCGTATGTTTTAATAAAACAAATCGCTAGATTAACCAAAACAATGGTGTGAGAAGCTAATAATACTTTAACCATTATC